AAAAAAAAAACAGTTTGCCAGTATAATGTAATCTTAATCTGATTAGTCATGGTTGAATACGGGGTGAGTATATGAATGGACGCCTTCCCAAACATTCTTGATAAATGGACTTTACTAAAATAGATCATAAATGGACTCTAAATGTGAGTTTTCTACTTCAAATAGTTCTGCTCTCCAAGCGTGATTCCAAGAAAAAGTGTGAAGAAGATTGTCTTCCTCACCTTTTTACTTCATTAAGACATTTAACAAACATTTTTTCTGTCCTAGGTGCTAGGGAGTACATCGGCAAATAAGACAAAATCCTTTTTTGACAGAAGCCAAGGGAAGTCAGATATGAAAGGAAGTATCTACAAGTTATGTTCACTATAAAATTCAGTTAAGATAAACAATATTAAAGATTGGGCTCAATATGTTATTATTTTTGCAGGTTTAAATACCAAGGAATCCTGACAGTATTTACAATGGAGGTGGGTCAAATTCAGACACAAATTGGGGGACCCTAAAGTCATGATGTGTTGTCAGCTCACAGTGAGGGAGCATGAGTTCAGCCCACCCATAGTGGGAGGCAGGCTTTGGGCACTGATGATCTGGGTGGACTCCCGTCCAGCCACAGAACAGCACAGGTCAAGCACTTTCATTTTTTTTTTTTTACAACTACTTCATTGTGTTTTTCTCCAGCCATCCTTTTGTTGGTGGGGCAACTCTTTATTGACTCTCAGCTCTATGCACGGGGCCTAACCGTAACTCCTACTTCTCTGAGTCCTGAGTTCCCTTCCTGTTTTTGGCATATCTGCACATGGTAATTTTGTTTAGTTTTGTTTAGTTATCACTGTTTTGCTTTTAAGCCCAGCTATCTCTTTTTAAAGTGATGTTCTTGTAGCCAAGCATGCCTATGTGTGGAGTCTAGGACACTCAACGTCTGCCATCTTGGCTGGAAGCCCCCACCTGATGCTTTTGGCACTGAGGGTACTCATTCAGGTAAACTGGACTCTGATAATTTGACATTTTGTTCTGATAATCTATACAAGGTTCCCAATTAATAACCCAAACCACAGATTGGCATTTTATTTCCTATAATTTTTTTGAAGTGCCAATGTAGCAGGGGTTCCACAGAGTATGAGACCCTAAATTGTGTTCATGCTAGGGTTCAGACATTTTTGGCCAACCCACATTCGATGCTTGGAGGATGAATCTCAGTGATCTATCTTCAGGAATGTCCATTTCATGGCAAGAGAGTAGAGGAGTTCAAGCTGGGGTCAAGGATGACAGACTGGCATCAGGGGGGCTGGGCAATTCTGAGCATCACTCATATTGTCTTCCCTGGGTCAAAGCACAAACAGGCTGGGAGTGAAATCTGAAAATGCTGTTTGGAAGAAATTGCTGTAAGATGTTAGGTTCACGAGGAAACATAGTTTGGGGACATAGGTGACAGAATGTACTACATGCGTGGGGAAGAAAGCTCCTTTCTGCTTTGGTGAAGAACACAGAAGGACCTGGTCCCACCATGGACCTCAGTGCAGTGGCCTCTACGTCTTCCTGTCGGCCTCCTGAGCAGCCTCTGCAGGGAACGGCCTGGGCACTGGCTTCCTCCTGAGGCCCTGGAGGAGAGAGGGGAGAGGAGATGAGGAAAATGTGGACGTGGATGGACACCTGCACACCCACACGCTCTACAGTTTTTGAGATGAAAGCATGAGGTGTCAGGGAAGGCGGTCGTGGGCATGTGAAAAGGCCCCTCAGAAGCTCACTAGTGCTGTTATCTGGGACTCTTGTGGCCTGGGCAGTGCATAAGGGTAGGTGGCAGGAAGGTGAAGACCATAAATGCTCTAGAACGTGTGAGAAGGTGACTGTCTCCACAAAGGAACTAAACTCACCTCCACTTGTTCAGCCTTCCACAGTTGAGCTTCACATGTGATTTCTTTTATCCCCTCTTAACTTTATTTTCTAAATGGTTTGAGCTGTGTATTATTATCATCTCTTTCCATCCTCAAAATAAGGCTTGCTTACTATCTTGATCTGGCATGCCTTCCAATAACACTATT